ACTAACATTGCCTAAGTGTACCTGTAAAAGTAGGTGACATTCTGGTCTTTACAGATGGGGCAACAAAGGTTCCGTTGTAGTTTAATATTTATGATGGATAAAAATAACAATTTAAAGACAAAGTTTGTTTAAATCATGAGTTACAAAAAGAGATATTTACATATGCTAGTTCTTTACTGTCTTTCCATTTTGTAGTCTTAAATTGTTAAAGTGGATGTATTGTACTTGTTTTCTTAATTGTTAATAGACTTTCAGATTTTACATAGAGATTTTTTTCTATTAAATTGGCCTGCTCTGTGGCATACCTATGTCAGTAACTGGTGTTAACGTCTGTTCATTTTGTTTTGCTTTACCAACATAGTTATTCCAGTAAAAGCCATACAGTAGATATAAGTTATACTGGTACAAGGTGCTTTTTACCAGGATAGCTTATTTTGCTTTGCCAAACAAGAGTAAGCTATACTGGTATAGGCAGTTTCATAGTGATATAAGTGCATCTATACTAGGGAGATTTTGACACGTTAACTATGCTGGCAAAGCCTGAAACTAAGAAGTCACGCCGCCCTGGCTGTAAGGCAGTTAAATAATTCACAGATCATAAAAGGAGCATGTTAGGGGGCTTATTCCTTCACCCACTTACTTCCCTGGTCCTTCTCGCATGAACAGAGAGCAACAATACCCGAAGTCCAAAGGTGCAAACAATTTGATGTTTATTGGGGTGAACTTCTAGCAAGGACGATTCCAGTTTCCTTCCTTAGTGTCCTCCTTCCCAGCTCTGATACCACAGAGCCTTATACCTGTGTCCCTGTTCCCATTCCTGCCCTTAGCCAAACATGATTCCAGTTTCCCCACCCCCATTCCTTGTTCCCATTTCCCCCCCCACACACTCACTTCCTGACCGACTGCAGACTATATAGTAAAACTTGAGTTCTTCTTAGCTATACCTTAACCAATCATTTTACTGAAATTTAACTAATTAACTAATATATTGAGTTATTTGTGAGATAAATTGAGATTATGTAAATGAAAACTGTTGGATTATGCACACACTCAGGGAGGTAGTTATGTTTCCATTACCTGTGTTATGAGTGCTTACTTGTGCAACTGAAACATCTTATTAACACATTTGTTTATGTGCAATATTGTATATAATTTAGCTGAAATAGATGCTCTACTCCAGTGGTTCTCAATTCTGGTCCACCGCTTGTTCAGGGAAAGTCCCTGGCGGGCTGGGTCGGTTTGTTTACCTGCCGTGTCCGCAGGTTCGGCCATCGCGGCTCCCATTGGCTGCGGTTCGCTGCTCCAGGCCAGTGGGGGCTGCGGGAAGGGTGGCCAGCATGTCCCTCGGCCCGTGCTGCTTTCTGCAGTCCCCATTGGCCTGCGGTGAGCCATGGCCAGTTGGAGCCGCGATCGGCCGAACCTGCGGAAGAGGCAGGTTAACAAACCGACCCAGCCCGCCAGGAGCTTTCCCTGAACAAGCGGTGGACCAGAGTTGAGAACCACTGCTCTACTCACTAAGTGTACTTAGATGAAGTTGCATATTTGACTAGAGTGAGACAGCAAATAATCACCTGGCAAACTCCAGCTCTTCTTAATTTAGTTTATTACAAAACTCATTTCAGGCTGATACCTCAGTAGGAGGGTTTGGGGCAATGCTTAGTCAACAGATAAATGAACAAGAACAAGCTATGCTTTATAGTAGCAGAAAAGTCTTTTTCCATATAGAAGGAAAAAATTGCAATGATTTTTAAAATGTATAGCTGTAAAATAACATTTGAGTCATTTGTGCTTTTTTTTGTATAAGTTGAAGGAAAACAACTGTTTAACAGTATACAGGAATGCTATACAACAATCTAGGATAGGATATAATGAATTTATGGGTGTGGCTACACTGCAGTAAAACACCTGCGGCTGGCCCATGTCAGTTGACTCAGGCTTATGGAACTCTGGCTGTATGGCTATACAATTGCAGTGCAGACAGTCAGGGCTGGAGCCCAGGCTCTGGGACCCTCCCCTCTTGTGAGCCCAAACATCTACGCAATTTAAAGCCGCATAGCCAGAGACCCCCAAGCCTGAGTCAGCTGACAGGGCCCAGCTGTGGATTTTTCATTGCCTGTAGACATGCCCTATATGTTACACTGAAGTTACTAGTTATTATTAGGGCTGAAGATTTAATCACAGTTAACTCATGCAATTAACTCAAAGTAATCACAATTAATTGCAGTTTTAATCGCACTGTTAAACAATAGTATACCAATTGAAATTTTTATTAAATATTTTGGATGTTTTTGTACATTTTCATATATATATTGTATTCTGTGTTGTAATTGAAATCAAAGTATATATTTTTTATTACAAATATTTGCACTGTAAAAATGACAAACAAAAGAAATAGTATTTTTCAATTCACCTCATACAAGTACTGTAGTGCAATCTCTTTGTCCTGAAAGTGCAATTTACAAATGTGGATTTTTTTGGGGGGGTAACATAACTGCACTCAAAAACAAAACAATTTGTAAAACTTCAGAGCCTACAAGTCCACTCAGCCCTCCTTACTTCTTCTTCATCCAGTTGCTAAGACAAACAAGTTTGGGTACATTTACAGGAGATAATACTGCTCTTGTCTCACTTTCTGGTGACACTGTAAATAGGAACAGGCATTTTCATGGCACTTTTGTAGATGGCATTGCAAGATATTTACCTGCCAGATATGCTAAACATTTGTATGCCCCTTCACACTTTGGCCACCATTCTAGAGGACGTGCTTCCATGCTGATGACGCTCGTTAAAAAAATAATGCGTTAATTAAATTTGTGATTGAACTTTTTGGGGGAGAATTGTATGTATGCTCTGTTTTACCTGCATTCTGCCATATATTTCATGTTATAGCAGTCTTGGATGATGACTCAACACATGTGGTTCATTCTAAGAACACTTTCACTGCAGGTTTGACAAAACACAAAAGATACCAATGTGAGATTTCTAAAAATGCCTACAGCACTTGACCCAAGGTTTAAGAATCTGAAGTGCATTCCAAAATTTGAGAGGGACGAGGTATGGAGCAGAAGTCTTTAAAAGAACAATACTCCGCAGCCAAAACTACAGAACCCGAACCACCAAAAAAGAAAATCAACCTTCTGCTGGTGCTGTCTGACTCAGATAATGAAAATGAACATGCATTGGTCTGCACTGCTTTGGATTGTTATCGAGTAGAACCCATCATCAGCATGGATGCATGTCCCCTACAGTGGTGGTTGAAGCATGAGGGGACATAAGAATCTTTAGCAAATCTGGCGAGTAAATATCTTGAGATGCTAGCTAGAACAGTGCCATGAAAACGCCAGTTCTCACTTTGGTAACATTGTAAACTAGAAGCGGGCAGCATTATCTCCTACAAATGTATGCAAACTTGTTTGTCGGAGGGATTGGCTGATCAAGAAGTAGGACTGAGTTGATTTGCAGGCTCTAAAATTTTAGAATGTTTTATTTTTGAATGCAGGTTTTTTTTACATAATTCTTCATTTGTAGGATCAACTTTTGTGATAGAGATTGCACTACAGTACTTGTGTTAGGTGAATTGAAAAATACTATTTTTGTTTTTTTTACGGTGCAAATACTTGTAATCAAAAATATATATAAGGTGAGCACTGTACACTTTGTATTCTGTGTTGTAATTGAAATCAATATATTTGAAAATGAAGAAAACACCCAAATATTTAAATATATGGTATTCTGTTATTGTTTAACTGTGTGATTAATTGCAATTAAAAAAAATAATCACTTGACAGTCCTAGTTATTATACGATGTCTCATAATTTGCCTGGAATGAAGTCACACCATTTTAATTTCCAGAGCTGTTCATAGGATCTCTCTGTATGTAGTACAGTTAGGTAGCATATGTACTCTTAGGTAACATATGCATTTACAATAGATTTCAGACTGTTTGAGAAAGTATAGAATGATGAGTAAGGAGGGAATATTAATTTTCCTTTGGGCTTGGGGGAATAGAGTAGAGTGGATCTGTATTCTGTAGAGGTAATCTGTAAGCCATGTTAAGGAGACCAGTGTACTTTTTTTAAATTGTCCGAAGGTGAAGGCTTGAAAATCAAATACATACACAGAGATCAAATATCCGTATGACCTCTTTCCAGTGATACTTTGCTGCCAGTACGGGCTTATACATAGCAAATATCCACCATTATGTATATATTGCAATGGTGGGCATGAACACACATCAGGCCATATGTGCATGTCATTTAGCATAGTTGTATGTAGCTTTTTAAATTCAGTTATCTGCACTAGAATGTGGGTTTTTATCTATCTCTCTATCTAAAGGTTAATAATTGACACCAAATATAATTTCTTTTTTCCTTCGGCCACCTTCTACAACAGCTCTGACAAATGAGCTTATTTTCTCCTATTGTTACTACTAGAAGCGGGAGGTCAGAATGGTGGGGCTGTTGCTCCTTATATATTAAGGATTTACAATGCCGCTACTGACTTGTTTCCAATCTTCATTGGGTGGAAGCAACCTTTTTGCTGGCAATTAAATTTTTCCTGTTGGGATTGCAACAATGTGTACTGATGGTCAAAGAAATTTTGTGGTTTTTTTCTGAATTTCTCTTGGATTCCACCATCTGAAAATCCACTTCTCCAAGAATCTCTCTTCCTCTTGTCTTTATCCATTACCTCCACAGCCTCCCTTTCATGAGCCACAGTCTCATCTTTCACCTCGTCATTGTTTTAATTTTATGGAAGAATTGATCCCGAAAACTCTGGAGATTAAATGAAATGCTCGTTTGAGTAAAATAACTCCATGCTTAAGTGCTTGCAGGATCAGGCCAGTAGATTGGAAACTTTTTGTATGTTATATCATTTGAGGCACTTTGTAAATGTCTGGTACTATATAACTGATTTTAATCTCTCTCTCTCTCTCTCTGCCTATATCTAATTATTTTTGTGTACACTTGTTGGTAGGAGGAAGTAAAAGAAGGAATTGAAGACACTAATTCACAGGTAACAAATTACCCTTTTTTTTTCTATAGCATTCTTTCTCTTGCCCTGCAATACAGAGATTTTTATTTTATGTGAAGTGATTGATTTTGCTCTGTGTGTGTGTCTCTCTGTCTGTCTCTCTCCGATTCTGAGTTAAGATACTGATTCTGAGGACAAATTCTGGTGCTGACTTTTTAGTAAATTTTCCCCTCATTGAGTAAATTGGGCATTAACGTTCTGGTCTTAGATTCCTGTGTCCATCTTTTCACTGTATCTGTTTGGCCAGTAAAGTAGGAAGATACCAGCAAACTAAAAGGCAGCCCTAGGAACGTCTAGAAGGCCAGTGCTCATTTGGGGCTTAACTTTTGAGTCCTTGACTTTGAAACCTTACTATGCTTTTAATGTGTTGTGGATTGGTTTTGGATATAATTGTATGTACATGCTATTTTGCTTGGATAGCAAAGATTGCGGAGAATGAAATCCCATCTGCAGTATATCCACCAAGACACCATCTGGGGGGATAGAGGAAGAAGTGCTGTGCCTGCAAACAACTGTAACAAAGGCTGTTGCTACTGTTCTAGCTATAATATGCATCAGCACATGCATAGAACACGTGATCGTGCCGAGTGGTACAAAGACATCAGTGTAAGTTTTTAGGATAGGTACATTACCCATGGGTGATGAGTAGCCATCTCAAAGTGCAATTAAGACCTCTTACATTGAATCATTTGTTGCCTTGTTTATGCCACATTCTAAAACAGTCTTTCTATAGAGAAAGTTTTTAGTGGTTTTAAAAGTTAGGTTGGTAGTATCTTTTTGTCGTCTTCTAATTGTAAAGCCACGCTGCCTTACTACCATGAATCCAACTGTATAGGCAGAGGAAGAGGATAGTATAAGCATAAAAAGGAAAATCACCTTTTTTCCCTCCCCAATGGTACACATGCATGCTGAATGAGGACAAAGCTTAAAGATAAAAGAATTTGAAATATTTGTTGACTACAGGTGTGTTCTAACTATGTGAATGACCTGTAAACTGAAAATACCTTAAAACATAAAATCACAATAGAAGCAGAGTATAAGTTTGCAGAGAGTCCAGTTATTGAGAATTTTTCTATCCCGGCAGTGAAGGACTAGTAAACACATTCTTAACATATCAAAATACTAGATTCTTTGTATGTAGTATAGTATGACATAACCAAATATATTTTTCTAGTCTCAATCTGCTCCTTGAAATATTTCCAAACTCTCAAAAATGTATAATTACTGCTTGATAAGTTATTATGGTGATTGCAATTAACGGATTAACGTCTGCTCACTAGCTGAGACTTGAATATTGGTTTCCTTCCCCTACAGAAGATAAACTTAGAAGCAACTTCTGAAAGGGAGAGAAGCGGTTCTCAAGCCACAGACACTGAATAAAGATGAAAAAGATTAATGCATGAACTAGCTAGCAAGGGAAATGAATGAACAAAGCCCCCACAACTTTTGTATCATCTGAAATTTAGGAGCAATTTTCTCTTTACTACAGTCGTAGAAGAGGACATGAAAGAGATGCAGTCTTTAGCTCTAATGGTAGAGGTCTGTTAATAGCTTTTAACAATTGACAGATAATCAATAAAACATTGTTCTGGTGTCACTTGTTAACATCTATATTTATTTCAGGGATTTCTGTTATCTTTTGCACTAAGATGATATCTGTGTAGGGAATTCATACTATGTAGGTAGTATTTATTTATTTTTTACATAGCACCTCTCTAAAGTATCAATGGGCCTGATCCCAATTTCAGTTGACTTCAATTGGAATTGGACCAAGTCCAAGGTGCTGCACAGTTTTATGGAGCTGTTGGTAATGACACCATACTTAAGGCTGACCTTGGTCTCCCATATTAAGCCCTGATTTTCTTTCCCCCTCCCCTCCCCTTCTGACTTTTGTTTGCAGTAACTGATTTGTTTGCAAACTAGGATGCTGAAAATAAGGGTGAGAATAATTTTTTCCAAGGATTGAGGAAATTCAGGATTAAAGATGTTTATATGTTGCTTAATCAAAAGTAATACAAGTCTTAAATTTATTCCCAGCGTCATGACTCTTCGACCCATGTGTTCTCAATAGAGGCACCCAGTTGCACAGCAGCTCTTCATGTGCAGAGCGCAGGATGACTCTTCCATATTGGGTATTTCCTCGGAGAAAACTCTTTAGGAATTTTCATTCTTACAGGCTGGCCAATGATCCAACTGGGGAAGGGAATCTGCTGATCATGTTGAGCCAGTCTTGCCCCTGAAGCTACAAGCAAAGATAAGCACTGAGAATGGGCACAAATTGAGGAGTGATATCATGGTCAGCTCTGCTGGCTGACAAATAGGAAGCCAAATCTGACCAGATACATGTTCTAAAGCAGACAGAGCACCATCTATCCAATTCCTGAACCTGGGATTAGCTGATGTTAAATAAGGGGGAAAAAGTCCCTGTGTATGAACAGAAAAAGCTTTTACTCAAAGGTTGCCAAAGGGAATAGGATGACAAAACAGCTATCGAACAGACCAAATAACCTAGACATGCACCTCAGGCCCAGCTCAGGTCTGGTTCTAACTACTCAGGCTTATAGAAAGGGATTTGAATGTCAATATCTTTTGCGTTACTCCAGTCTTCTCTGTGGAATGTGCTAGAATTGGCCTCTCTCAGCACCTACTGCAAACTTTCTTACCAGGAGCATGCCTAAAGGCTATCCTGAACAACAGGGCCTCCTGCCTGATGCTGGTAGCTTTGGGCAAGGAAGCCATAATGGTATACAGCATAGTGAGTGTGAGTGTGTGGTTCCTGCTCCTCTGGGGGTTTCCAAGACCTAGCCAAATCTCCCATTGTTCAGCACACCATGAAACCCCTTTACTGATCAGGGCATCTGGCTGGTAGCGTAGCCAGCTGGAGAAAACAGGGGGAGCAGAGATAAAAAAAAAAAAAAAAGGCACCACCCACTAGTACTCACCCGGCGGGGCTCCGGGTCTTCGGCGGCGGGTCAGGCTGTGCTCTGGGTCTTCGGCATCGGGTCCTTCACTCACTCCAGTCTTTGGTGGCACTGAAGGACCCCCTCCACCTCAATGCTGCCGAAGACCAGAGCGAGTGAAGGACCCGATGCCAAAGTGCTGCTGAAAACCCGGAGCGCCGCCTGACCCACCGCTGAAGACCCGGAGCACCGCTGGGTGAGTACAAATTAAAAAGGCACCAAAGAATTAAAAAGGCGCCACTTCTGCTTGGTGGGGGAGCGGCCGCTGCCCCGCTCCCCCCCAGCTACGCTACTGCATCTGGCAGCCTGTGCACTGAATGAAGATGGCCACTGGGTATGAGGTCTCTGTAGAGTGAGTGGAACCTGCTCCCTAGTGCATTGGCCCACATGTTTCAATGAATGGGTCACAAGTCGTGGAATTTAGCAACTTTCTTACAAGACAAAACAGGTGAAAGCAGCCTGGTGGTATAACAAGGTAGCTGGGAGCATAGACTGATTCACCAATGCCAAACCTCTTGGGTTACTCCTATTCATAGATGCTTCAGCAGCATCATAGGCTCCCACTCTGTCCTTCAATGCCCGGCATGCAGTATTACGTGCAGGAACATGCACATGACTGATGATAATATTGCTGACACACACTCATTTTCAGTTGAAATTTTGCTGTTATGACCCTACTACAAAGGCCCTTACTAACTTCTTAAGTCCTGGCTGTCAGAGTTCATACTATACATCACTGCCAATTATCCTCCCCAAAATTGTCCAGAACAGGGCAGGGGTCATATAACCCAGCCTTGTAGCTCTACTGGAAGGGGAGTTATAAATTGCATGAGATCTTTCTTCTCCCTTTTTTATTTTTCCCTACCTTAAAGCCCCAATTAAAGAGGGCTTGGAAGAAAGGAAGAAGCAGGGGGCGGGGTGTGGATCTGAGGGGAAAAGGACCTAAATGTAAAAAGTCCATCTTAAAAAACAAAGCTTTAAAGAAAAATCCTCTGTTTTTCAGATAAATATAGGAGAAAAATCAAACAGCATTTCAGGAATAAGAAAAATTACACTTAAATCCCTTAAATAAATAAGGGAAGAAACCACCTTGTCTCCTAGATAAATGTAGGTAAGTGGACATCCATAAATATAGCGGGGGTTCCAGCCTCAATCGCCATCGCAGTTCGGGGAAAACTAATAAAATAGAAACTGTAGGTCAAGTAAGGCAATCATGTGAGACTAAGGGTGGGGAAAATACCATAAATGCTCTTTTTTAAAAATAGTGGGAAAATATTCCTCCCTTAAGTGCCACTACACTCTTTCTCTCACTTGTTACCCTCTCCTCTATTCTTCCTTCCCTCTTGTCCTCCCTCATGTCCTGTCAATCAAATTAAGACCTGCACATGAAATGAAGGGGAGGTTGTCCTAGCACAAAGCCCTTTGGCTTAGGTGTGAGTGTATGTGGTAGGAATTGCACCAATGGAACATTCCCAACCTCCAGAGGCTCACTCATAAGAGCTGTTGGATGTGGTCTTTCCGTTGCTGTTGAAGAAATATGCCTTTTGGCTATCATGGTTATGAAGTAATTATCTTGTTAAGACGTCTGAGTTCTTCTTTATTTAGCCATAAGGCTGTGAGTTTGTCATGGAAGTCATGGATTCCGTGACTTTCTGGGACCTCCGTGACTTCTGCAGTGGCTGATGCGGCTAGTCCGGGGGCCGCCTGAGCAGCTTTGGGTGCGTGTGGGAGAGAGCTCAGGGTTGGGGTGTGGGAGGAAGTGAGGGTTCTGGGCAGCGCTTACCTTGGGGGGCTCCTCAGAAGTGGTGACATGTCTCTCCCTGAGCTCCTAGCTCTGCATGCTGCCTGTGCCCGCAGGCACTGCCCTCCGCAGCTCCCATTGGCTGCGGTTCCCGGCCAATGGGACCTATGGAGCTGATGCTTGGGGTGCGGGCAGCGGGTGGAGTTAGAGCTGATGGAGGCACATGTTGCTGCTTCTGGGAAGCTGCGAGGAGCCAAGTAAGGAGCATGCCAGTCCCGCCACCCTCCCTCCCCTGAGCACCCATGGCACCCCCTGGACCTTCCCCCCCCGCCCCAAGCACCTGTGGACCCCTGGGCTGCCCCCTCACCTCCAAGATTTAGTCAGGGGTATATAGTACAAGTCATGGACAGGGCACGAGCCATGAATTTTTGTTTACTGCCTATTACCTGTCCATGACTTTTACTAAAAATGCTTGTGACTAAAACGTAGCCTTAGTTGTCTGCAATCCGTGAAGCAGATGTATAACCTCTTGGCAAATGAACAGTAGTAGTTAGTTGTATTGGTTGGTCAGCATGCTTGAATCTTTAGTGCTGCTGTACATTTACTTTTCTAATGTAGCCTGTCTTGTAGGAAATGGCTTGTAAGGATGAAAAGTGTAAACTTGATTTGCCATTCTTGCTGAATCAGTAGTGGGTGAGAAGAATAGGAACACCGAGCCACACTCCTAGCCTGAAATAGCAGGTATGGATTAAGGACGGTGGCAATGGACGGAGGCCTCTTAATGTTGTTCATTGCTTGTGGACACGTGCATACCATGTGGACACGTGGCTTTCATACAGTGTCCCCTATTCAATAACCTTCAAGCATGTCACAATAGGCAAGTATCACTATGCCCAGGTCTCATGGATCCAGTTCCATATTCCCTGGACCAGTAATTGTAGCAGGATCAGATAGGCATCCAGAAGTGGAGATGAAAGGAAAGGGGCACTCTTGGTGGAAATGACTCCAAGGATCCTTTATGCAAGGTATATCAGACGTACCTCAATTGCCATTAAGAAAACTATTGACTGTCCCAATTGTGTACTCCCTCTCTCCCCAGAATGCCCCAACCGTGTATACACATATCCACACCACCCTTCCCCTGTCCCCATTAAAAAGCCACTATATAAAAAAAATCCAGAAATCTGAATAGTCCAATTCACCGGTCTAAGCCAAACATCTCTATCCGACACCTTAACAACTGTTTCCCAGGAAAAGGGAAAGGAATATGAATGAAACCAGTGAAAATAGGTGAATGGCCGAACTATGTCAACCACCTTGTCCCGCAGTCCTTGCATTCTTAAACAGAGAAACAGTTTAAAAAAAAATCCACTCAACTAAAGCCAAGGTTTCAGCTCAAACAACTTCCTAGGTACAAAGAAAAAGTATGGAGGGGAGAGGGACTTATTGAAGGTGGGGTCAGGAAAACATATCAAGCTGATAAGTGCCAAGAGAAGGAGTCACATGTATGCATGTTTGGGAGAACTAAAGATTGAATATAAGGGAAAAATAAAGGCACAAAAGCAGACTAAGTGCAGGGACGCTAATAGGGGAGTGAGAGGGAGAGAGACGTAAAAGAATCTTTCACAGGCAGATTTGCAGAGCAGCAGTTCACACAAAACTAAACCAACAAAGGCAGATACTGTGGCCAAGCTAGTGGTGTGTGCTCACACACACAGAGAGAGAGAGAGAGAGAGAAAGTGAGGCCTGGGTTAAGGGACTTGCCTAAGGGCACAGACGAGGTTGCTGGAGCAGATGAGATTAAAAATTCAGAAGTTCCCACTCTATCCTCAACCACTATTTGCTGTGCCACAGTCCTTCCCAAGCAGTGGCCATAAAGAGAGATTTGTGGGGTGAAGAGGAGAGGATGCCACAGCTGATGATGGAGAAGGCAAGGAAGGAAAAGCAAAGATGTCCCCGAGGTTTGCAATAAGCAGCAGGCATGAAGCCACTGTGGCAGTGGCAGCAAGACTGGAAAGAGTGGGGAGGATTATCCAAGGAGTGACTGTAGAGTACTACGAGTATCTTGCTGAAGTGGAGGGCAGAGCAGGGAAGGGCCTTCATGTGCTTCGCTTGCCAATACCAACTGCTCTGTGTCCCCAGCCAGCCAGCCAACCTACGAGCTTGTTGAAGGCTCCAAGACTACCCAATAAGAGCCCTCCTCTTAGAGGTTCTGCCCCATTCTCTTAAAGTTGCAACATGGTAACCGCAGAGTTCGTGGCCTGCTTTTGGGTCCTTGCCCACAGTCCCATAACGGTGATTCTTAATTGCCTTAATTCCAATTAATTTCAATATTCATTATTTGTTTTTTCATGACAGATTCCAGTGCATTAGAACAGATATTTACTGCTCATGGAAGCCACACATTTAGCACAGCATGTTTAAAAATGCTAACAAATTGAGCTAAGATGTTTTAATATGTAAACTGGTTTAACTTTCTCTTTCATAGCTGTGATCACATATATTGTTGCACTTTGAGCGAGAATTAGGATTATGTGGCTGGTATTGAATGATGATGCTTTAAAATAGTATTTTACAGAGCAAAAAGGTGACAATCTTGAATTATAACATGGTGTAATTTTTTTTCCTGGCTATGCTTTTGCATAGGGCAAAAGAGGAATGATGACCTACAGTGAACTGACCTTGCTAATAACAGTTCAGTTCCTTTTTGTGCTCTACAATGCAAATTCTCTAGAAAGTCAATCAAAGGTTGAATTATTTTATTACGTTCTGCCATGAGGTATGCAACATGCCTCAGTTGCAAACCCAGAAAGTATGCCTTTGATCCCACAAGTGCTCTGTACGGGGTACTAGCCAATCTAATAGCAGGACTGGTGTTAGTTTCTGTTGCAGAAGCATAAATATGTGAAAACCACATAAGTGGCTACTCATTTCATGAGTATTATATCTTTGTATGAGAGACAAGAATATATTTTTTGTTGCTTTTAATTAAATGAAATAAATTAATTCCTATTTTTAGTGACAAAACATATGGGGGCAGGGGAAGAGGACGTGTCCTGTTTCTCTCTGTCTTTGAGATATATATATATAAAAACCTATTAAAAGAAACATTGAGGGGAAGGAAAGTCTAGTGGTTAGTCAGGCAATCTGGGTTCAGTTCTTGACTGTGCAATAAATTTCTGGTGTGACCTCAGACACGTCACTTAATCTCTCTGTGTTTCAATTCCCCATGTGTAAAATGGGAATAATGAGACTTCACTGCCAAACAAGAGTATTGTGAGGTGCTTGGGGTCTGTGGTGATGGGGGTGCCATGTAAATACCTAAGACAGAGAAAGTTACAGTGTACCAGAGATGAATCATCACAAGCAGCTGCTGCTATAATATTGAGGGATAAGTTTAGAAAGTATATTGTTATAAAGACAAACAATGAGGGGCTAGATTGTGCAACTGTTACTCATGATTGGGTTCACCAGGGTGGGTAATGGCTGAACAACCTAGTCCTACTTTTATATTATGTTCTTGTAACCAGCCTGGGAGATAGCATTTCAAAAGCATTCATTCCAGGAAGGAGCAGATATATTGATACATTTTTGGAAGCTATTTTCATTGAAGGATTTTTCATTTCAATATACATTATACTTATTAATAACTTATTTAATTTTTAGCAGGACTGATATTGAGCCACAATGGCAGCTGTAGTCTCGGATAGTCCTCCAAACCCAAGCTGCAAAATTATGACTTTTAGGCCTTCAATGGATGAATTCAGGGAGTTCAACAAATACTTAGCATACATGGAATCAAAAGGTGCTCATCGTGCTGGACTTGCAAAGGTAAACATCTTTTACATAAAAGAACAACTATTTTCTTAAACATTTGCCTTTTGCAAAACTGATGTGTTAAATTTTAATAATTTTTCAAATGGTTCTCCTGTGGTAGCTGTTGATATGTCCCTCTTTAACAAAAGTTAAATGGAATAGCTCACGTTGCATGTAAACAAAGAAAAAAGAAAATGTATATTGTCCTCCACATACTCTCAAATTATCATCTATTTGCTATTATCACATGGAATGTGAAAAGAAAATCTCTGTTTGAGGCTGACTAAGTTAGTACTTAGCAGCGCAGTCCAAAATAGAGAATTCATAATATAAATCAGGGGATCCAGTATTCCAAATATAGGAATCTACTGTGCAAACACTTAAAGGTGTGTGTAACTTTACTGACATGAATCATTTCACTGAAGTCAGTGGGTCTACTTATGAATAAAATGAAGCACATTCTTAAGTGTTTACAGAATCTGGGCCATCATAGGATTTCAAATTGTTGATTTTTTAAAATTGTAATCATTCTACCTCCTGGTTAACAAAAGTAAGGCATGGAAACCATGCAAAAGCTACTGTAGCATTGCCTCTTGGCTGAGCAATGGTTGATTCCGGGCCATGTAGCTAGTCAGTTTCCATTAATGGAGAGAAACTGTCACAACTTCAGTTTGGTGTAACTTATTTACATGATGAATATGTTCTTATCTATGCTATATACATTAGTCTTGTTACTCTTTATGTAGTCCTGCGGTCTGAGGATCATAGGGGAGGAAACACAACCATGTACATGCAGATCTGGGAACCTCAGCTCGGTCATTCGGAGTAGTCACTAGGAACAGCTACCTTAATCACTGGGTCTCCAACACTGTGTTGCAAACCGAGAACATTCAAAAATCATCAGAATGGCTTAAAATGAGACTTATAAAATAAAAATAACAAACTTTGGGTTCTTATTTACTTTCTGTGTTTTGAGCCTTGAGGATGCACTTGGGTCACATCTTCAGACTTTTCTCTGTGAGCATGAAGGCTAGAAACTTTTCTTTTTTTTAAATGAAAATTCCAATTACTAGATTGGGCAACTCATTCATTACAGACATAGATAAGTATATGAGGTAAAAGTACACATTGATGTTATATTGTCCCCACCACCTTCTGTGCTCATTTTGTTTTGAAACAGATGGGTTTGCTGCATGGTACTAATCACTGCAATTGGACTGCTTATATGCTTAACATTTAAGCATTTGCTTCAGTGTTCGCTGGACCAAAGCCAGAGCACTCAACACCTTGCAGCATCAAGTCCTAAGATGGCTGGGGAACAGGAAGCTTTCTGATTAGCAATAATTGAGCTAGCAGAGAGTGAAGGGATCGTGCAACTTGTTTTGGATTGTTCAGTATATTGACTTGCCTCCTTGATCCCGAAAATCTTAGCATCTTAGGTTTGCTGATGGTAGAATGTCCAGGGGTATGATAAACTCTTCTTGGAGCCATGAGGCCACCTGACTTTTTCCCACCATCAAAGGGTCCACATTGTGGTGATCATTCTTCCAGTCACCATGGGCTAGATACAGAGTTTTCTGAGGCCTTTCATTGCCTCTCTCACAGTGAAGGCAAGACCTGGTTACTAGAGAGTAAAGGAAGATGCCCTCTTTCTTCAGTGTGCTTTGTACTGCCTTGTCAATGCTTTCAGTCCCTGTGAGGGAGCAAGAAGGTATTGGGGTTTAGGGGTGATTGCACTTCTCATTCAGTTTTTGGGCGGGCTGATTGGGATGGTTTTTCTACTCTCAGTGAAGAATTTCTAAAGAGTGAAAAAATATTTTTTAAAAAAAAGGTCAAACTCGCTTTGCCTTTCAACTGTAAATAAAACTGAGCTGTCATTTACAGTACGAGTTTCTATGTTAAAATCCTGAATTCATATTCTTAAGGACATTAAATGAAAGTGTAAGCCATTTGCTAAGACCTATCAGGAGATAAGGACTTTTTCTGTTTTGATTGTGCTCTAAACATAATCCTTGCTTCCCTGGGTAAATCTTTTTTTCAGTGAATTGTTTTACTCGATGTCACATTTAGATTAATGTTATGTCTGATAGCAGGGTTGTGTATTTAGTGACAGTCGTTAGAGTAACATCTGTAGTAGCTCTCAGGAGGGAGGCTGTCACACAGGGAGACTGCAGACACTGAGGTTGTGGTGAGGCTGGAGGTGTGTAACAGGAGAAAGTTAATGAGATCTGGAACTGGTGAGCTAATGTAACAAACAAAGAAAATTAACAGATTAAAGACACCTGAGACCTGAGTGCTTTGTGTTTGTGGACTGGGGATCAGGGAGAATGTAACAGATCCTGGAATTGAAAATCATAAAATTACTGACAAAGATAGCAGCAGCTGAGAGCATGCTGGGTACAGCAACTTTTCTCATGTCACTTATAAGAAAAGAGTCACTCTGTGTTTCTGAAAATATTAACATTTTTCTTTCAAGACATGCAAACTCAATATTAACTGTTTTTAATTTTGCACTGAAATTCCCAAAGGCAGCAGACTGGCTGGTCTCTCGTTTTCATTTCTTCGACCGCTTCAGGGAAGGGAGTGATGACACTGAGAACCTTTGTTAATTTTAATATGGTAGTGCCCCCCTGTGTTCAGGTGTTCTGCATTTAAGAAAACATCCTACCATAATAATGGAGAGATTGTGAGCTTTGATCAGTCAAGCACATTATGTGACAAGAAATATGGTCCCAGGCATCAATTCTTTTTCTTTCCAGATTCTTTCCTGGCCTAATTTACTCCCATCCAGGCTTTGGATCTCACTCTGGAGCCACAGTCGGAAATGCTGGTGTCCCATCCTACATATGACATATTAAAATATCTTTCCCTGCTTGTCCAACTCTTTTTTTAGGGATGGAGAGAGTTCTGTGCTTTTCAACATTAAAATACTCTGTTGAAAAACAGAGGGAGCCCTGAGAAACAGGACTGACATAATTGAAATGAGCGGAGAGGGTGGAAGAACAGAGAGTAAGAGCAAGCTGTGTCATTTTGTGTTCTTTCAAATGATTGTGCACATAATATATATTCTACTTCCGGGTTTCATGAACCCAGAGTATGCGAGTCAGAGACCTTCAGCTAGCAGTACCTATTGGGGTGGCGCATGTGCTCTGCACATCCTTGTGCCTTGAATTGAGGGTAAAAAGGGAAGGGCCACACTGATCCATCTCTCACTGCCTGTGATTACAAGTTTGAGCACTCTGCAATGCCTCAAGCTCATGGTCCCTTTTTCCAGCTTATCAGTGGGGAAGTTTTCTTTTGTTCTTGGAAGGTGCCTAAGTACTGCATTAATGTACAGAAATCACCAGATTGAAGCATGAGGCCTTGCTTATTTTGAACTATCAGGCACTCTTGTTGAAATATGACTTTATTAATTTGGACTCCAGGGCAAAATTCTCACAAAAGGTTCCTCAGGACTAGAGAAATGTGTTTAACTCCCTAGTTATAGAGGGCCTCCTGGTTGTTGGCATTTCTTTATGGCAGCTCTTGACTTGGTGGATACAGCTCCAGGTTGATTGCAACAGTCATCACTATGTGGTAAATTATTCTGCCACCAGCGTCTGGCATCTCAAGGGAGGCACAAAACATGGTGGAAGACTTGCCATTTAAGGGCTGCAACTTATTCACAGACAAAATGGATGAGACATTACACTCACTTGAAGACTCCAGAGCAACACTTTGTTCCCGAGGATGTCCCCCAACCCCAAGAAGAAGTCATTATAGGCCTCAAATGCACATATATGGCACCAGCTGCTGAGTTTCCGAAGAGATGTTTTCACCTATACCCTCTGTGGGTTCTTGCCATCCAGGTCTCTGTACTTCATAGCAGCAGTTTTGATGGGTTTGTCAAGAGCAGAGTGGCAATCGTTGAGGATCTGTCCATCTTGTGCCCTGTTACCGGGTCTGTGCCGGCACTCCCACTTTTATGACTGCACCCTTTGTTCAGGCTGGTATAATAAAGAGTCCCACCACCTTCTTCAGTGGTTTCACCTTTGTGTCTTCTATTTACAGAGTTCTTGTGCAGTCCCAATTCCCCCAACAACAATCACACCACAGACCCCTCCCAGGGTCTTCTGGCCCTTGAGGTTCCTTCCAGTAGGTAAGGAGACAGAGAAACAGCCCTCCTGTCTCCTCCCAGGCCACCCTCTCTCTGAAGTTTTCCCAGGGCTTTTATAGCCCTCCCAGTCTTTAGCACAGCTGTTCCCACTCGGCCCAGCTTGTTGCTCTGAGCTAGCCTTCATTAGGGCTTACAGCTGGGCTCCCTGGCATGTCTCTCTACCTGGCCTTTTGACCAGAGAGCTGTCTGCAGCCAGCATTTTGGCAGGGCTTTAAAGGGGGTTTTACCCCTGCCCTGCCACATGCCCCCTCTTTGGCAACCAGCTGTTCCACTTCCTCAGTGTCTCCATAACTATAGTCCAGTGAGTTTGACACTGAAACTGGGTTGCAGCATTCAACTCTAGTCCTTGCCCTACCCTACCCATCTTCACTGTCCTTGTTCAGAAACTTCTTTCCTAAGACCATACTGCTTCAGGAGGTACAGTATCTTTTAAATCTTGGAGCTAGAGAGGAGGTCCCTTTACTGCACAGGAGAAGGGAGTTCTACTCCTGATATTTCATCATACCCAGAGGGAGACCTATCTTGGGCTTAAGGAAGTTAAGCACTTTTATCAGGAAGATAAAATTCAGGGTGGTGTCTCTTGCTTCTGGTTTGGGGCCAGTTCAACCAACAGGTGATGGACCACATCCACCAGACTCAACCCTATTTGCTCAGCTGGCTCTAAAAATAAAACAGAGCAGTAGATTTTGTCACCAATGCAAAAAATCAAGTTCATTGGGACCATTCTTGATTTTATGACTGCAACAACCTACCTGCTTCAAGAAAAGTTCTGGTCCATTTTGAACCTCTGCACAAGACTAAAAACCAACCTCAAGACAGCAGTGAGGGCTAATTTGAGGCTGTTGGGACACACAGCATC